CTGAGCCATACTATTATAATTATATTGTTCATATCAGGAATGCAAAAATGGGTATCGGCCTGTTTTTTGCGTGTCGGGCAGAAATAATAGCGTATTGGGCCGATACCACGGATACGCAACTTTGTACGTGGGGAGAACCCTGCATGCCGTATTTATTTCACTACACCTCATAAAATTACTCATGAGCAAACTGACAAAATAACAAAATTCTGCCGAGTTCCCCGAGTCTGGCAAGAACTACAACGCTAAGGTCACATCTCAGGCTACATGCATAGAGGCGGGTTCCAGAGGGAATCGTTGCTGGTACATGTACCAGGAAAAAAAATCTACTGCATGGCATTTGAGAAGGACACTCAACAGGATGATGTCACCTATTATATATCAGTTCTGTTTCCACATGTGTGGTGAAATCGGCAAATGACCTGCTACATGTACGGTACAAATGGTGCGTAAATATTTATGAGGTGTAATAAAAGCAACTGGCAAATGGCATCCATATCTGAGCAATTCACCTTAAAATTGCACAGTAGGAGTCACCTTACCACTGACATCCAGTTTGTATATGCATGTAACTTCCTTCATGTACATGTACATTAACACGCATATTATACACAGTTCACATGCTTATTGGATTAAACACCTGTACATGTACCAATTTGTTTCCATCTCTCAGAATAACACAAAAAAAATCTGCAAATTGAGACTTTCAATGAAACCATTCATGCCACATTTTTCCCTCCAAATATCACGTGTACATAACGCACGCTCATGTACATGAGTTTTAAAGCTAAAGATAGAAAACACTCGTCAATGAGCAATCCGAAGTTTCGGTTTCGGTCCATTCTCAACGCCAGGTCACCATCCAGTCGTGAAAATGGAATAATCAAAAACTGTGCCATCACATCTTCTTCCTCCACATAAACTAGATTTCAACTCACCTCCACCGAAAGCACTGGAGAACAAGGTGACACCCTCCCACTGCTGAAGTGCCAGCCAACACACGATTGTAACAAATGGGATCCAAGTTATTGGGACAGCATACCAACTGGAGGTGGAGAAATACTCCAGCAGGCCATAATGGAAGAGGCGCAAGCTATTTCTGCTGACAGGCTGGTGGGTCCAACTGTAATACTTCTCACCAAGGTTTATCGCTTGCCATAAGACCGGTTTGGTGTAGTCAACCACATCCTGGAGACAAGGATGTCAGAAAGAAAATCTTCTATTGAAATGAAGTACATGTGCATCGGGTTAAACCTAAAAGCTCAAATTCCATTCACGACATCAGCCACGTAGAGAAGTTAAGACAGCAGGTCCTCTGTCCACGTCAATGAAAGCCTGCAGGACCTGCCAACTGCTGGTCGTCGTGGCTGTAGGGAGATTAGCAAGGTATGGCATACTGGTCATTAACTCTAACTACCTCAAGCCTCTCAAACTCCAACAGCAGGTTTTGTTACGTTTTGGCAGATTCGGTACAATACATTATGAAATTCTTGTTCAACTTTGGATTTACATGTACAATGTACATGTAGGAACAGAGGCCTAGCTTATTAGTGTTGGATTTTGTCTGAGCTGATACACCTGGGGTGGCACAGTGCAGAAAGTGGCTAGAAATACACGCTGTTGGACCTTGTTTGAGCTGGGACACACACAGGTAGGTTCAGTGTAGTGACAGGCCAGAGTTGCTGGCTGTTTAAATTTGTTGGGTTCAGTTTCTGTTTAGTGCATGAGTCACTAGGGTTAGGCCCAAATAATTCAACAATAATTCACAACATACATGTACAAGCATGATTGGCTCAAAATAAAAAGATTCCAAAGTGATCTAAACCTACCCATTCTAACTGCCTTTCAATTCCTGTTCTCTAATCTATTCGTTCCATTCTAACACCCACATCAATCTCAACATATACAAATCAATAATGAATGGTTCACATTATTGCAATGGTCAGAATATTTTCATGAGGTGATGGATAAAATCTTCCACTCTACAAGGCAAAAATGAAACATTTCATCTGTCACTAAATGAAATCATTCCTACCTGTGCATGAACTGAAAGTAAAGGATCATTGTTTGTTTCACATTACACCTGCATAAATTTTCTTCTGTCATCCCGCATGTACGTCCACCATTTTGTGAAACAGCTTTTATCTGAAAGCACTGCCCACTGGGAGCATGGTGCAATGTTAGACTGGTTCCCGTCCCTTCTTTATTTTCGTCTTTCTTACTTGAAATGAAATATATCATGTGCATGAACTAGAAGTGGAAAGAAGTCAAGTGAAACTTCTATTCAACGGGTACTGTGGAAAAGAATGAATAATTCAGTGATACAAAATCAAAGATCCACCGATCAGATGACGGAAATTCATGTGGGCACTGTACAATAAAATATATTACACAAAAGACTTGCATCAGTACCGTAGTTCTATTCAAACCAACATAAAACATACACAACTATGCAATGCTCATATGTACATATGCGTACATGTACATGTACATGTACGAGTCTTAACTTGACAAAACCCTCACTATTTTTGACAGTATTGCTTCCGTTTTTGAAAAACAGACACTGATCTGTATGCTCTTACTACAACCAGTAAAATCTGTTCATGAGTACAGGTAGTTTCTCTTAAATCTTTAATCCTAACTGTCTGAGATCCTACCAAATCAACCGAGGGAATTCTCAACATTCCACCTGATGGGAGATGGTACAGTAAAGAAATTGTTAACCAAGTGAGTACTGCAACTGCATCAGGGATGCAGTTTAAGAGGCGACTGGCTTACTTGGCTGAGATAAAAACAACACATTCAGAAATCCAAGGCCTGAAGTTATGAACTTAACCTGAGATTTGCAAGAATGTATGATAAAACAGTGCACTGCAGGTCCGAATCCTATCCGAATCCCACCTCAGATTGGATCGGACAAGATTGACCGTGGTCCAGTCAGATTTGGAATGATCAATGACACTGTAAATACCAGTAGGTCCAGTGAGTGTAGTTGGATTGGATCAGGTTGATCATCGTCTCCGTAATCCAATCAAAATTGACCATATTTAGACTTGTACATTGAAAAGGCCGAACATGTCAGTCATCATCAATTAATTGTTATAAAATGTGGTGGAAGCTGTAAGGTTTACAATGAACAGTTCCCGGTTTTCTCATTTCCTTTTTTACGTAAGATTTTGTCAGTACTCGGTAGTAGCTTTGCCCATCCAGGAAACCTGACATTACAAAAGAAACCAACCAGAAACCATGTCTCCATTTACAGTACCATCTAAACTTCTCTGATTACTGTTTGAGTCAGATGTAGCAGCGAGTATCACAAACCATCTCCATAGATGTACATGTTCTTTGCATCAGGGAACACTACGCAACGTAGTGTTATGAATATACATGTACGTCGCTGTATGGGCAAACCAACCACTAAAAATTAGCATCTACCTGATGCAAAGTACATCTTTGTGGAAAAATCTAGTTTTCATTGATAATGTTCATTTCATTTCATTCATCAGTGTGACACCACAAGAATCTGGCAACTCTGTACCAAAACAATAAACGTGCAAAATTAGCTGATGTCCTCATTTATGTACACGTGCATGCATGTAAGTTCATATTAGGTCAGAGTCAGATCAGATTTTGCACTGTGTCGTTGGTGGTTTCCAATTAGATCCACACTGAGCTGAGACCATCATCAGGAACGGATGGGATCAAGCTGGGACCTGGAGCCGTAGCATCAGACTAACCTTTCCTGATCTGATCCAATGTTCACATTTATTGTATGGCATTAAAGAGCAGGTACGTACAAATACAGTAATACGCATTGCGTCAGATGGCACAGGAGGTGATTGGTCACCCATACTCCCCTTTAATCCTCTTATGCTGAAGTCTTTCTTTGGGTCATTTGGTAAACACCTCAAAGAAGCACAGCTGTGTT